TTTTAGGATGAATATTTATCCTCGCAGATAACTAATTTTGTTAAACTGCATACTGGAGAAAAAAAAAAAGTTAATCCTATCAGTTCGACGCACTGATAAAACCATGTAGGACATTGCATTGATTGAAAAAGAAGAAAATGCTAATTTGTCAGCAACCTAGATGTTAGGTATATCTGCTTCTCTAAATAGAGCAGTTGAGTGTATAACAATTATGCCAGGATGTTGGTGATTTCTCATTCCCATCCCGAAAACCCCAACCAACAAAGCACGCACTTATATAGAAGGTGAGACAAGGACAATCGCAGAATTTCCTAGGGAAATTAGTTGGTATTCCATATACAACGAGAATCGAAGATAATGAAAATAGTATCTTTTCAAGATTTAAACGCCATAGATAATTCTATTGAAAGTCAGACAAAAAGAACGCTCATATACTTGATAAAAATCAGGTCTTATTTTCTGATTATTGTTCTGAATTTGTGGATGTATAAGTTCACTTTCAAATGGAAAAAACTTCTATACAGCACCCAGATATATTGCATAAGGATGATATGAGAATTGAATGAATATGACAATTCACATTGTAAGTAACCCATCAAGAACAAACAGTTGATCAGACAAGGCAATAATGCTAGAAAAGACATTTAAAAATAGAAACCACAGCACTTAGACAGTCATTTTTCTAAAGTTATTCTTACACATGCTCCACCAAGTGGCATTTCTCTAATATATACAAATAAAAACTAAAAGCATGTATCTAAGTACAGAAAGTTGCAAGTTTGAGTATAATCTGTATCTTTAATCAGCCTAATTCTGCATTTTTTGGATACATAAACACTTGATAAAAATTACATACTAGATGCGTAATCAGCCTACTTTCACTAAATCCCAAAAAACCATATCACAGGTACATTTTTATGGCGAATATGCATAACAAATGGTAATTTCGATAAACTATGCACATGATATTCCATAACAGATGTTCAGAACCATAAAATTCTAACCTATACAACCAACTGTAGCAAATTCTACCTCCTAAAAACAAGTTAAATTAGGATACAACTCACTACTGATAATCTTATCCAAAAAGAGGAAAAAGAAAAGAAAAATCCACTGCCAAGAAAACAAATAATAGAACAACATCCAGATACTGTTCACATAGAACTAAATATACAACTGTCTTTTCTCTATGCAACCGTGTCAATAAATTCATGTAAATAGTTTAATCGATTTTTCACAATCTACAGCCTCATAATTTATTACTAAAATATTTGATCATCATGAAGAATGGATAATCATACGAATTTGAATCAATATTCTGTGAACTTTGATTATCCTTTCTTATATAGACTAAAGCTCTAGACTCCAGGATTGATAGCAAATATGTTTGGGAACAACTCATAAAACTGTAAAATGGTGTAGAGGCCATTACTGGGGAGAAAAAGATCATTGATTTTTCAAAAATATTTTATGGCTGAAACTGCCTAGAAAGAAATGGAATATTCTTTCAGAGAAGCTGCCAGATATACAGTGAAGCCAGATTAATCATATATGAAAATTCATACATGCATAAATG